CTGACTCATGTCTGGATTTCCAGGAGCTTTCGGAGGCCGTGAATCACATGGGAGGAGATTGTTCATCCTTCTTCTGTGGAGCAGCTGGTAGATTTGAACTGTGTGCCTTTGGTTTGGTAGCACATATCTTTAGCACTAGGCCACCACTCTTTTCTTTGTCATAGAGGATTGTGTTGGTTTCCTGTGGCTCCTATAACAAATTGTATTTTTAATGGCTTACTACAGCACAAATATATTACCTTAATTTCTGGAAGCTTGAAGTTCAAAATCAACTTCAGTGGGCTAAAGTCTGGGGCTGATTTTTTGAAGGTTCTAGCAGACCGTCGATTTCCTTGCTTGTTCTAGCATTTAGAAGCTTGTGACCTCTTCCTGCATCTTGAAAGCCAGCAGTGTACCCTCTTATCTCCTCCCTCTCATTCCTCCCTCCTACATCTCTCTGTGATTCTCACTCTCCTTCCTCCTTCTCATAAGGACTCTTGTGATTGCTTTGGATCTACCAGCTAATTCAAGTGAATCTCTTCATCCCAAAACCTTTCACTTAATCCACCTGCCACGTCCCTTCTATCTTATGAGGTGACATACTCATAGGTTTGGGGAATTAAATCGTGGACATCTTTGGAGGGGCCATTATTCAGCCCACTGTAAAGACTATTTAATGTTAACACAGACTTGAACAAAGGGAAGAATTTATCAGGATCCCTACCTTGGAATGGAGAATAATAGGCTGTCCTGCCTTCCATTCCCTAAACAATATGCCTCTGGAAACTCTATGGACTTTGATAAATGTCGGTAGTTGAAGAGGGGCTTCAGGCCTTTTGTTCCTAGGGTCATTATGAGTCATGCTCAGCTCAATGGCAATCAACAACAACCACCTGTCCTCTAGATTCAGTCTTATGTATGTGGTGCCAGGTATAGCTGTATACAATAGCAAATTATTTGCTTTTCTGGTGTAATTAGAGTCACCTTTTTTAACTGTTTGAGAACCTTTATCCCTAGAAATGTGTACTTACCAAAGAGTTGTCCACATCTTCAGGACATGAGGTTCAATGAGCCATGGCTGCTGTCTTCCTTCTTTATTCTCTTCATGGCACTCTGTGTCCACAGCATGCTGGGAAAATGCAGAACCTCTAAGGCCTCCCCTCTCCTTTCATGGAGATTATGTCTAAGTGGAGGAGAAAGGCACTTGAGAAAGTATTTTTAACAGCAGACAGGATGTGATGGAATGATGACAGACGCAAGGGGTGGGAACCCAGAATACAACATCAGTTCTATGTTGGGTTATGTTCCTAAGATTTTCCCCTACAGAGAAATACTCACCATATACACATACATCCAATTATCCATTCCTTCAGGCTACAGATCTTGGATCTTTTTTACAAATGTTGTTGGTAGGTGTTTTTCTCCTTATCTGAGAGGATTTTTTATTCAAAAAAGCTGTATACACAAAAAAGAAAGAAAAAGAAAAGAACTGTACAGTGCTAATGATTCATGTGAAATCACTTGTATTCAAGATTGATTAAGGTTGACACAATAAGAATTTGATAGCATATAGCAGATGTTAGGGAAATATCTGATTAATCATCTTCATTTATACTGACTCTGAACAGACAAAATCTAGTCACCTGCACCACACCAGTTTGGTATGGCTCTCACAAACGCACGGAATGGTTGGTTTTCCCAGTTGGAAAGTTTGTTCTTTCTTATATATTGCAAAAATAGTTGCAAAAATATAGTTGCAAAATATTCTCTACCCAGAGAGCCCTCCGGCCCAGGACACAATTTTAGAAAATACAGCTGACTTCTCTGGGACAAACAAAACCAGCCTTGTCTTACTATGGTCATGGAAACCAAGTTGGCACCTCGTTATCGCCTTGTTAGCGAGAACAGCCTGTGTGTGTGTGGACAAACGCTGTAGGAAGGGTTGGCTCCGTGAGGCCTGGGTTTGGAGTTAAGCTTAATTGCTTTTCTAAGGCTCAGCCACTTGATACCGCACAAGTCAGGATCTCTCATCAGACTCTTGAGCATCCTCCTCTTCTTTCCATGTGAGAGCCTGCGGGGGCATTTGCGCCTCCCCACCCCTGCAGCTGCCATGATTCCTACCTGAGTCACATGGGACACGAGTCCCAAGGCTTGCCTGCAACCAGCACAGCTCCCCAGAGCAGAAAGGGTCTGTCATCCCCTGACCCACCTTCAGCTCCCAGTGTCTTCCCACCCCCTTAAAGTGCAGCCAGTCCTTGTAGCCTAGGAACCTTGCAAGGCTGCTGGATGGACGAAGGTGGTGTCTTTTGAAACCGTTTATAGCAAGTTCTTGATTTATTTTTTTTTCACATGAATGGGAAAGAGCAACCCAAAGTCATCTCTGGGTTTTGTTTTATTTTATTTTAATTTTTTTTTATTTTAGTGACAATATAAATAAAGAAAATACAATTATAATGTTATGGTAAATCTTGCCCCATGCGATTAACTGCCTCTGAAACCCCCCTGGGGGGCCAGCTATGTATGGGTCAGTTCCAACTTGATGGCACACAACAACAACAAATGTTATAAAACAAAATGTATATGTCTGAAAATGCCGTAAGATTTTTCACACTCTCATTCAAATAAATAAATAAAGCATAAAACTGAAGAAAAACCAAAACAAAACCAAAAAACAAAGTCATCTCTGGCTAGCTCCAAGATGTGTTTTGACCTTGCCCTTGAACATGGGTGTGCCTGACATTCTGGGAACTCACTTTGACCAAAACAGTGGAGCTGTCTAGGACGAAAGGGTGAAGGAGGGATGTGAAGCTACTCTCACTGCCTTGTGCCCATTTTCTTTTTAAAATTTTTTAAAATAATTTTTTATTAATGTTAATGAAAATTTACAGAGACTTTGGATTTCCATTGTTGTACCTTTCTTCCTGCCCACCCTCCCCCCACCCCAGTACACTCTTCTCTTTGAAAAGTAAAAGAAAAATTCTTTTGTTGTTTTGCAATCCCTCTCCCCAGATCCATTCCACTATGTAGCCTTCGTTCTGGACTCATGTCATGACAATAATACCCAATCACATATCCTTTTTAAACAGTTTTCTCTCTCATCTGTTTCAGTTCAGTATATATTATTTATCCCCTCTTTCTCAGTCTCCCGCCAACTCCAGTGTCAGTCCCATTTTACAACAGTGTTGCTATGCAGTATCTGTCCCTCATTTTCTTAATTTCAAAGTACAGGTTGAGAGACAAGTCTGCACTCACCAGCAGTGAGCTTTTATAACTAGATTAGCCTCATTTGGCTCAGTGTACATTCTGGCCCTGCAAAATGGGGATGAAAATTATCAACCTTCACAGAACTGAGGGAAAGAGAAAGTGAGATGACACGGTTTAGTCATTAGCAATAAATGAGAGCAGTCCATCCCTGTCACCTTCCTTCCCATCACTCCCCGGTCCCCTTCTGACTCCCACCGCTTTCACAGACCATGTAAAGGGCCCATCTAAGCAGGAGCTTTTGTTTCTCAAAGTTCCTCTGAAGTGGAAGAGGTGGATGAGAGTGTTTCTTATTCTCTTCTCACTTGCTCCACCCCCACCCCAGCCTCTGTTTCCTCATCACCAGGCTGTCACTGCACAAAGTCCAAGACCATGGCGAGCTTGTCTGAGGTGTCCCAGCTTTGCAGGTTGCTCCGCCCTTCCCTGGATGGGCAGGTTGGCTGCACCAATTGCAGGTGCTCACATTCTTCCCACTGAAATGACCTTAGAACTCTTGGAACTCATGTACATCCAAAACCACATTTTCTGACCCAACTGACTCCCCAGAAGGGAGCATAAGACCCAGCAAATAGGGCCTTCCCCCAAATGTTCTGTTAACCATGCATCCCAGACTTTTCTGAGAAAGTTGTCCTCTTTCCATACTATCCCAGAGCCTGATTGTTGATCCAGAAAACACCTAACCCACCAACAGAGGTCGCGTGAAAGCCACACCAGCTAGAAGAGCGCTGTACGCAGAGTCCACTGCTCCCTAACACGCAGATTCCCAGACTTCACTTACACTGTTAGTTATTCCTTGTCCTGGTCGGATTTGCCAGCTGCCTATGAGGGAGCATACTTTTTGTTGCTTTTGAAAGTGAAATGAGGACAAAGATGAAAATATATTTGGCTCATATGCATACACATCACTCCGTATGCAGTTTCGGAGCCTCTTTCTTTCCCTTCCCCCTCCCCACTTTACCATCAGAGCATGTGGATTTCCTCATGTCGGGAAGAGTTCTTTTTATAAATACTGGCTTTGCCAAACTCAGGACAGTACAGTATTGACAGTGGTGGGGGAAGCAAGAGGATTGGGTGTTGTGTGTTCTCTCTGAAGTTTGGCCCTGGGTACACAGGGATTCATTGAGTGACATATTTTTCCATGGAAAGTCTTTAGTACTACATAAATAATTTGAAAATGTTAACTGTCAATTGTAAATGGTTGCTTAACCTCTCATTATGTCGCTCTGTCATAATTTATTCAGTTCAAAGCCACTGGTTTTGGAGATTTGTTGGTTTTGCTTTGGACTGCAAACGTCATTGGCTACAAATCTCTGCATGATTTTAGCTCGTTTGCTTGGGACAGATTATAGAACTAAATTTCTGGGCCAAAGGAAATGAGTATAGTAAGAACATGTTGCCAGAGTGGGTGTGCTTTGACTGTTACTGACACGTAGTAGGCACTTTCTGTGCTGTTTTAGTTTTAATTTTTTTTTTTTTAATTTTACTAGAGACCTTTTCTGTTTTGGATGGTTTTAGTTTACATTATTTTGATCACCAGGACAGTTGACCTTGCTGTCACAGAGCATTTTTTTTTTAATTTTTTATTTTATTTCATTATTTTTTTTTTCACAGAGCACTTTTTAACTGCTGTGTGCATATGTGAGTGCAGGGTTTTGCACTCACATGGAGGGCCTGTCTGGGAGGGCCTTGTTTATGTGGAAGAGAACCACCGTTTGTATAAGCAATGCTACAGCCTCACCTCCTTCTTTGTCTCCCCACAGTGCCGCCAAGCTCCTGGATAAGAACCCCTTCTCGGTCAGTAACCCGAACCCTCTGCTTCCATCGCCTGCCAGTCTCCAGCTGGCTCAGCTGCAAGCCCAGCTCACCCTCCACCGGCTGAAGTTGGCGCAGACAGCTGTCACCAACAACACTGCCGCCGCCACGGTCCTGAACCAAGTGCTCTCCAAGGTGGCCATGTCCCAGCCTCTGTTCAACCAGCTGAGGCATCCATCTGTCATCAGCACCCCACACAGCCACACTGGGGTGCCCCAGCATGCTGCTACCATGTCCAGTGCCCGGTTTCCCTCTAACACAATTGCCTTCTCACCCCCCGGCCAGACCCGAGGCCCAGGGCCCTCTGTGAACCTGGCCAACCAGCCCCCCGGTGCCATGGTGATGCATCCTTTCAGTGGTGTCATGCCACAGACCCCTGCCCAGCCAGCTGTCCTTTTGGGCATTGGCAAATCGGGGGCTGCTCCTGCAGGATTCTATGAATATGGCAAAGCCAACTCTGGCCAGGCCTATGGCTCCGAGACAGACGGCCAGCACAGCTTCCTGCCCGCCTCGGCCTCTGCTTCGGGCAGTATGAACTATGAAGGACACTATAGCCACACGGGACAAGATGGCCAGACCGCCTTTCCTAAAGACTTCTATGGACCCAGTGCCCAGGGGTCACACCTGGCAGGTGCATTTCCGGCTGAGCAGGCGGGGGGCATGAAAGGTGAGGTGGGCCCACTGCTGCAGGGCCCTAACAGCCAGTGGGAGGGCCCCCACGGATTCTCTGGCCAAAGCAAGCCTGATCTTACAGCAAGCCCCAACCTGTGGCCTCCAGCCCTCAGCCAGCCCTTTGAGCTGTACGACCCTGAGGAGCCCACCTCAGACAGAACCCCTCCATCCTTCGGGGGCCGGCTTACCAACAACAAACAGGGCTTCAGCAGTGGCCGGCGGCGGGCCAAGGAGGAGCAGGCGGCAGTGTCGGTGCGACCCCTGCAGGCTCATGAGCTGAATGACTTCCATGGCGTGCCCCCCCTCCACCTGCCGCACACCTGCAGCATCTGTGACAAGAAGGTGTTTGATTTGAAGGTGAGTTGTCCCACATGAGAACCGTGGCAGGCTGCCACCAGGGCCTCATCACTGTCTGATAATGAGAGAGAGAACCCGTTACAGTTGGGGATTGAGGAACAACATTTCATTCTCTGTTTGTTAGTTGTTGTGCAGTCGAGTCACCTGTGACTCATAGTGACCCTGTGTACAACAGCCCTAAACCCTGCTCTATCCCGTGCCAAACTTATTGTTTCCAACATGTCCATCCCAGTTACCCCAGTCACTGAATCAATCCATCTCATCAAGGGTCTTCCTCTCCTACACTGTCCCTCCACCCTCCCAAGCATGATGTCCCTCTCCAAGGACTGGTCCTTCCTTGCAACATGTCCAAAGCATGTCAGATGAAGCTTCAGAATCCTTGCCTCTAAGGAGCAGCCTGGCTTTACCCTCTCCATGAACTTGTTTGTTCTCCTAGCAGTCTGTGGTATATTCAATACTCTTCTCCAGCACCAAAGCTCAAAGGTATCAACTCTCCTTCTATCATCCCTAGTCATTGTCCAGCTCTCTGATGCATAGCAAGTGATTGCAAAGACCATGGCATGTATCAAGTGCACCTTAGTCTCCAGACTGACCTCATTGCTCTTCAGTACTTTAGAGAGGTCTCTAACAGCAGACTTTCGCATCGCAATACGTCTTCCAATTTCCATGTGCCAGCCCTCATTCTGTTTGGAGAACTTAAGTCCCCAAGTAGGACAGGCCATATGCAGTGTGTCATTGACCCTCTGCTTGGGTCCCATCATCTAAGTGCATCCCTGTCACTTGTATGGGACACACCCTCTCGGTGTCCCAAGGGCACTGGCAGGCATGGGGAGGTCCTAGAGAGTCTTATCTCTCAGAATCCTCTGAGGCTTCATACTCCCAGGAGCCCGCCTGTCAGAGTCTCCAGCTGGATGGAGAAATGAGTGGGGTGTTTCTGGGAGAAAGGAGGTGAGCTGTGCAGATGGAAGGAAGGACCACAGCAGAGGCATTAGGAATGGACTGTGAGTCTGGCTTCTTGCTCGAAATGGAGACAGCTCTGGGATGTGCTGATGTGGCCCAGTGGAGCTAGGGACCTGGCTGGGTAGGTGGTGGGTCGGTGAAGAGTGCTTAGTAGGTAGTGCTGGGCTAGAGGCCTGGCTGAGAAGGACGGGTGGGAAGTAGGGGGGGAAGCAAGCCAGGCAGTTGTGCTGGGTGCCCCATGCTCCCTGCCTGGCTGGAGACTGTGTACTCACTCTTCACCTGGCCTGAGACGGTTTTTCCTTCTTCCTGTGGTCTCAGTTCTGTCTTCTTTTTCTTTCATCCTGCCGAGGACTGGGAGCTGCATGTCAAAGGGAAACCACATGCTCAGAAATGTCTGCTCTTCTCTGAAAAGTAAGTCCTGTCTGGAGAACAGATCCATGCATAAGCTCAGCCCTACATTGTTTTGCATCCCTGATTAAAGGAAAGCAAGAAAAGGGCAAAAGCAAAGAGTATGTGTGGGGTAAGGACAGAGGGGGCTGGTCCTCGTGTTTTAAATAGGTCTGTCTTTCTCTACTTGTGGTCAGAGATGTAGAAAGTGGCATCATTGGTCATTTGAAATGCATTAAGAATCCAGAACCCAGGAAGAAACTTGGCCCTCCTTTGCCATCATCTCTCTACCCTACCCCCCACCGCCATCCCCGCCCCGACCGCTTGCTGACCTCTAACTCTTGGAAACTCCAAATCTGGTTTCTGTATCTGTTGATTTGCTTATTCTGTGCATTTCACATAAAGGAAATAATATACTATGTGACTTTTGCAATATTTTTGTCCACTTAGCATATTTTTTAAGGTTTGTTTATATTGTAACGTGTATCAGCACTTTGTTCCTTTATCTATATTGTTCTTAAAGATATTCAAGTTCATTCTGAATCATTGTGGCCTTGTAGGACAGAGTAGAAGTGCCCCAGTAGGGCTCCCGAGACTGTAATCCTTATGGGGGCAGGTCATAAGGTCTGTTTCCCCACAGAGTCATTGATGAATTGAGCCGCTGACCTTCCCATTGTTGTTGTTGTTGATTGTCTTTGAGCATGTGTCATAGCAACTCTGTGATCAAAAGAGCTTATAACTGTTGCACCATCAAGATCCCATTACTTTATATCTCCCTGCTGTTGTTTCAACTCATACCAACCCTTCACGGGGTGTTTAAGGTGGTGGATCTTTATGGGAGGTCACTGCTCTTCTTTGTCCCAGTAAGCAGCCAGCCGGTGGATTCAAACCATGTACCTTTAGGTTGTTGCTGTGTACTGTTGAGTCAGAACTGACTCATAGCTGACTCTTCAGTGGGTTTTCAGAGGCAGTAGTTCACGCAGGAGGAAGCTGCTCATCTTTCTCCCATGGGGGCGCTAGTGGATTTGAACTGTCAGAGAGGATTTGCAGCAGGCTGTGCCCTCAGGGCTCCTTATTCCTTTATATCGTTGAGTAATATTCCACATGTGCATGTGTGAATGCTGCATTCTGTTTGTCCGTTCATCCACTGGTGAATGTTTGAGCTGCCTCCACCTTTCCGCTCTCATCAACAGTGCTGTTACAGACATTTGTGTACAAGACTTCTGTTTTCAGTTCTTTCAGAAAGATGCCTAGGAGTGGGTCACAATTTGTGCTGTGTGTAATTTATTACGGAACTGCTCTCCCCTTCTCACCCACCCCCCCGCCCCCCCAGTGCTGGCATCCGATGTGTCCTGGGCTCGGCAGAGGGAACGCTGTGTGCCTCGCCCACCAGCACAGCCATTTACTGCCCCGCTGGCAACGATGGTGAGTGAGGGCCTGGAGGCCACCAGTGTGAAGCAGAAAGCCACTTCCAGGGCTCATTCTTTCTAAAGTTCCCAAACCAGGACTTCCCTCTCATGGCCTTCTTCTACATTTATAACACGAACAGATCCCGAGACACTAAAACCCACAGGGCTACAGTGTTCGCTGACCTATGTTAGACTTTATATCTGAATAGAGACCCTATGTCTAAAATATTAACTTGCCCAGAGTATAGTCATACTGATGCCTGAATGAAGAGGAAGCTTTGGGGTTTTTGCTCCCACTTACACCCTGTTAATGTATTTGGTGGTAAAGCAGGCTGCCACCTACCCTCACCTGCCTTGTGTCATTTGTCATTTAGACTATGCCTCAAGTCTTGGAGCATCATATGCGACCATTCCCGCAAGGTCGTTTCCTGCAGCTACACCGGGGACTAATGTAAGTACAGGAACATCCCCTCCTCTGCCATCGTCATCATCAGCACCTCTGGATCGCCCGCCAGGCCTGGCCGTTGTGTGGTTACGGTTACGGGGAGAGGGGGCTGTGATGGAGACGGGACGGTGTAATTTTGTGTAACCCGAGAAGCGCTGTGCCTGGACAGAGGTTATTCAATCCAGACCAGCTGGGTTTGAAACATACAGCTAAAAAAGCTGACAGAAATTCTTAAAATGGAAAAATACCAGACTTCCCTGCATTTGGCCCTGGTTTAGGAAGGAGGGGGTTGGGGAATAGAGCTTTTGGAAAAAGGTTTTCTTGAAATGGAGCTTTCCATGAGATTCACTCTGAAACTTGATTCAGAAAGATGCTTTAAAGAGAGGACCAAGCAGTGATGGCATTTCTTGACTCCTTAAGGGAATGATTGGTGCCGTATAATAGATTTTGTTTTGTTTGCTTTCTTCTCTCTGTAACATGTGGCTTAGTCTCCCAGGGCTCTAAAAAGCATCACCCTCCCTTTTTTCTCCTTGTGCTCAAGATGTCTCCTTCCACCCAGGAGGCAGCCTGCTCCTCTCCTCCTCCCCAAGAGGACAGAGAAGGGGTGGGAAACACAGAGCCTATGAGAAAACAAAACGCACTGGTAGAGTCCTGCTAGAGAACATGTATTTGCGTCTGTATTTTAAAAATTTATCCTGTGACCAACTGCCCCCTCTTCTCATGAGAACAGCCCTCAGCATGCGGCCCTTCCACGTGTGCTATGTTTACACAAAAACCTCAAAAGAGTAGGACAGGCCGTGCAGGTTAGAGCCTGGTGGGTGACCAAGCGAGGAGGTTGGTGACAAGGCGTGAGGCCTCCTGGCTGAGGGTCCTATTTATCCACACCCCTTTAGTGCACTGTCTTGTGGCCGAAGGGCTAGAAGAGAGAGGACCACTTGGGCTGCCTGCATTTCTATTCACAGTAGTGTGTTGTTGCCCGCTCTCCCTGAGCCGTGTCCACACCATTGGCAGCCAAGGGTGGCCACGTGCCGGGCTCAGGCAAGCCTTGATGTTTTGTCTTTGAGTTCAGGCTGGGAGCTTCTACTCTGAGGGGTCTCCCACCCCAGGACCTTCTTCTGTAGCCTGTGGACCCCAGCATCTCCGAGAACCCTACCCCTGGTGCTGAGGGGCTGCGACTGAGACAGGGAAATACACTGAATGGTAGATAGCCGGGAGTGAGGGTTTGTGTGTTGACTCCATCCCGGGGCAACTGAAAGCAACTGAATCCCACTGGGAAGGGAAGGACGGGGGATGGAGGGAGTATGGGAGACACGGGCTGGGCCACTCTGTGGTCTGTCCTTTCCTGCATCCTTGTGTAAGAGGCCCTTCCCCAGGGATGTGAAGTCAGTGGGCCCAGGTCCCACCCTGGAGCCCACCAGCTGTGTGGTCTCAGGCCAGTTGCTTTTACTCCTCTGAGGCCCTGCTACATAGTTGGGAATGAGATCATCTGTGATGGTGACTTTTGACGGCGAATGACTGGGTTCCCACCTGCCTTGTTTAGTTTATCATCTTGGTGATGCCTGAAATCTGAGATCATCATATGTGCCCAGTCCCACAAGCCCTCTCAGTCAGTGGTCAGCACCAGAGGGTAGGGGTGAAACACAGCACAGACTAGAGTTGTCCTGCTCTTGTGAGGATCAGTGGATCAGGTATGTGACCATGATTTGTGAGCTGTTCGGTCCATACGAAGTAACAATGATTAAGGAGTCCCTTATAATCTGTTCTAGTTATAAAGAGTGATGAAGGAACCCAATGTGGCTACTTAAGTGACTTTGGCCAAATCTCACTACCGTGTTCCTCCTGCATCAATCTGTCCAGGGACATGTGAGGTCCCACCTATTACCCCTGAGAGAAGGGCTTTGAAAATAGTGTGTGCTGGGCAGGTACAAGCAATTGATTAGTCCTGTTAATACTCAGAACCTCTGAGAACTACTTCCTCAAAAGCTTACATCTGGCTTGAGTCTGAGAAGAAGCAACCCAAAAAGCCATCAGCAAGTGGAGGGTCCAAGACCTGAGGTAGAGCAGGGGCCGTGCCTGCAAAGGCTCAGACTATGTGTGGGCGGGTTCCAGGGACATTTGCGTCCACATGTCCACCATCCCAGAACATCAGTTCTTTAAGAAGCCCGTTTATCTGCTGCCTCTGGTCAAGGTGTATAGCTTCTCCACACAATGAAATGCAGCATTTGAAGAGCGAAGACCTGAGCTTGTATCTCTTCTTAATTCCTTGCTGTGTGTCTCTGAGGGACTTTCAAACTTCAGTATAAAAACGAAAGTAGGATGCTACTGTAATAAAAGGGTGAATATTTTTTAGTGCCTAAAATCTGCCACTGTTCTGAGCATTGTTTTAGTGTGTATTAACTTAATCCTTAAACAAACTCTGAAGTAGATATTATTGTTGGTGTTGACTGCCTTCGAGTCAAGCACAACTCATAGTGACCCTATGAACAAAAGGCCTGAAGCCTTCCTGTAATTACCGACAAAGTTCATAGAGTTTCCGGAAGCATGTTGTTTAGGAAGTGGATTGTCACTCCTGCTTCCAAAGATATAATTGTTGTTGTTGTTGTTAAGTGCTGTCGAGTCATAGACGACTCACAACAACCCTATGAATGAAAGTCCTCAGCACTTGTGTGACTTCCATCCTTTCTCCAGGCTCATAGGGTTTCCGCAGGCAGGCTATTTACGGAAGTGGATGCCACTCCTGCTTCCAAGCATATTTTAATCAGGGAGCTCCACCAAACCCTGTCCACCATGGGTAACCATTCTCGCACTTGACACATTAGTGTCACAGTTTTCAGCTTATTTTATAGGTGAGGAAGTTGACACACTGAGAGGCTAACCTTGCCTGAGGACACAGAGCTAGTGACTAGAGCCTTTAGGATTTGAACCCAGATGACACTATTGGGGCACAGTGAATATGAGTGTTTGCTTGCCAACTACAAGGTTGATAGTTCAAACACACTAGCTGCTCTATAGGAGAGATATGTATCTGTCTGCTTCTCTAAAGATTGGTCTGTCTTGGAAAACCCTATGGGGCAGTCTGCTTAGTCCTATAGGGTCCCTGAGTCGAAATTGACTTGTTATCAATGAATTGGATTGGATTGGGTTGATCTTACTCTAGAATCCTCATTTCTAACTACTAGGCCATCAACCCCTCCCTGGGTGTCTCTGATGTCTCTTCCCTATTGGGCTTCTTGTGGATAAGAGAAGCTGTAGTGGTACTATGGTTAAAGCAGTCTGTTTTTTAACTAACAGGCCAGTGGTTCGAGCCTCTGTAAGAGAAAGAGGAAGGAAATCGTCTACTTGTGTTAAGATGTGTTAAGTTCTCCTCCGCCCTCCAGGGTCACTATGAGTCCTAATTGGCTTAAAGGCAGTGTTTTGTTTTTTTCTCGTTAATAAGCCCCATTCCCCCTTCTCATCCACAAGTTGCTGAGGAAGACCTAAGGCTGCCTGCCTTGCCAATCCCACGTGTGTCAGGGTGGAACGGTGCCCCACAGAGGTTTCAGTGGCTGCTGTTTTGGGCAGTAGATTGCCAGGCCCTTTTTCTTTTTTTTTTTAATTTTATTTCATTATTTTTTGTGTGTGCTGTCAAATCAGATCTGACTGGTAGAGGAGGAGATTGTGTCTCCTTCTCCAGCAGAGCATCTGGTGGATTCGAACCATTCACCTCTGAGATTGCAGTTGCAGCTTCTTGCCACTAGGCCACCAGAGCTTGCCAGGCCTTTATTCTGAGGTGCCTCTGGGCAGATTAAAACGTCCAGCCTTCTACTTAGGCGCCAGGTGCTTTAACCATTGCACCACTCACAGTCACCCTAAGTCCAAATTGACTTGACAGCAACAGGTTTTAATAACTGGTTTTGGATTTAATAAAATTTTACTCCTGCCAGGAGGTGGCAGGGCCTCTTCCTGGGACTCAGCTGGTCAGGTCCAGCCTCCAAACTCTGTCCTCAGCATCTCCCGAGATGAACTCGGATACACAGAGACGTCGTCATCAGCTCTGGCCACATGAGCCTTCCCCGAAGGCTACTGGTCAGTCCCTGCATTACCAGTGGCAGGACGGGCCTCTCCTCTTCTCGGATGTTGGTCTACTTGTTTACCAATTCTGGCGAATGGAATCGAATGCAGGTGTGTCTCACTTTAGGAAAGCCTGAAATGCAAAGTCCTTGATATTTGTAGTCAGGCTGAGAGGTGAAGAGCAGGGCTGGCCGCTGCTGAAAGGTGCTCTGCGAGGCTGCTTTAAGTAACTCAAGAGGCCCCTTGAGAAGTTGGTGACTAGTTTTCTGCTTATAATTACTGACCTTTAAATCTAAGCGGACATGTCCACGGTTGAGTCTACTGTGACCAGAGGAGACTGTGCCATGTTGTAAGTGCTAGAATGCTCCTCTTTAAAAAAAAAAATTTAAAAAAATCTAGGGAGCTCTGGTAGCCTAGTGGCAAGAAGCTGCTCTGCAATCCCAGAGGTACGCAGTTTGAATCCATTAGATGCTTTTCTAGAGACGGAGGGGCAATCTCCTCCAGTTCCAGTCAGATCTGATTTGATAGTACATGCACAAAACAAAACACCCAAAAAACCCCGAAAAGACAAATTCTATGCATCAGAGATCTGGACAGTGACTAAGGATGACAGAAGCAGAATTGATGCCTTTGAGCTGTGGTGCTGAAGGAGAGTCTTGAACATACCGTGGACCACCAAGAAAATAAATAGGTCTCTCTTGGAGAGGGTGAAACCAAGTTTCTTCCTGGAGGCTAGAATTTTGAAGCTCCTTCTCACATACTTTGGGCACATGGCAGGGAGAGATAGGCTCGGAAGAGTGGAGGGACAGCTCAGGAGAGGAAGACTCCAGATGAGATGGATTGATACAGTAACTGGGGCAATGAGAGCAGGTGGGTTGGAGTCAGTGAAACTGGCTCAGGACAGGGCGGGCTTCAGAGTGGTTGTACATGGGGTCACTAGGAGCCACAGGCAACTC